GTGGTGTGAGATGAGGGTAAAACACAATCATCGTTGTAGGGTGGAAGGGATAACTTTTCCGGGACTCGAGGTGGACAGGGAGGCTTGGGTTCAGCAGCGGAAGTGTACTTGTGAGGTTGGTGGAGACGAGGACTTGGAGGTGGAGCAGTGAAATTGTTGGTGACAAGAAAGCACTCTGATAACTTGATGCGATATGGCGAGGATCGGAGTTGGGAACCAGCGAACTTGCGTACATTACACCACGACCCATCAATTGACACAACCAAGTATCGATCTCGTGCACGGGTTTTGGAGCCATCTGAAGTGATATATACCAGGTCACCAACTTGAAGGGCGGGCGATGCTCGGCGTTGACCACTGGGGGTTTTAGACTTCTCACTGGCAGGGTGATCTTCCAAAGCTTGGGTGGATTGTGCGCAGAACTTTAGCTTCTTCGCTGGTGCGTAGTTCCTCTAACAAAGAGTCGAGGGCTTGAGATATCTCAGGCTTTATAGAGGCCAGTGTTCGGCAACGGAGCTCTGTACCGTATCTTTGCTTAACCAAACGTGGAAGGTCTGGGTGGAGGAGTTGGAGCCAGGTAACTACAATAAAGTTTTCGAGGGAGGGGGATAGCTCTTCATCAGCTTCTGGGGTTATTCCGTGATGAGTTATTCCGCCTGCTGCTGTTAATAAATTATCTTCAACAAAGGACATCAAGCATTGGTAAAAGTCTTCAGGCCTCTGGTCTAATTTGGCCTTGATATTAGCTAGATCTAAGAAGCGGGAACCAGTAGATTGCAGGCCGTAATGTTGTCGAATGGCTTGCCATACACCGCTGATGGAGGTCGAATTTCGTACAATCGTATTACGAGAAATAACAGGAGCATAGTTAGCTATTTGGCCAAGCATCATTTCGAGATGAGTCACCTTTTGCGCAGCGGTACGGCGTTGAATCTGGGGAATGTCCTCATCATCGTCGGTAAAACCACGGAGAGGAGAGGCATTGGTTTTCTTTAGCCAAGTAGCACCAGCGGTGAGGAACGAAGCAAAATTATGGTCTAGGGATAGGATGTATTTTAAATTGTTCTCCCAAGCCTCTATGGAAGTTATTGTTTCAGTCGTTGTGAGAGACCATTGTTTTGGTGCTCGAACGGCCGCCATTTTGTTTGTCGAAAGCTTGACTGGTAAATCTATACGATGAGTTTTTCCTCTTATTTATGCTTTTGATGTACACTTTTTCGTACGTTACGGGTTCTTTATAATCCGTGAAGCTGCCACCACGCCAATGTTTAGGAGGGCACTCGACAGCGAAGCTAAAACGACGACTTTAAATGGTAGTCTTTAATACTATGTTATGAATAAAACAACGAGGCCAAGACAAGCCACAAGAGTATACTAACATGAAGTAAAGGTCGCCTAGGCGCGAACAAGATCGCAGGCGCATGTGATCTTTACTAACAACAACAACAACTAAAAGCCACACTATGGCGCTCATTGTTTCTTCCTTAATCTGGCCCACTAGTCACAAATGGGGCCTGTTCTTATGACCTGGCTAGGCAGGAGACAACATTTGCCGGTATTGCCAATATACTATCCTGCTACTATCTGACTAAGCACAAGGTATCCGTTGCCAGAATCCCAACTACACAACCAGGCAACATGAACTTGCCTTTAGGTCCCATGCTGCCTAGCCCAGATCATATCAACAGACCCTTAGCAGATCCTGAAACTACAATTGGAACATTTTAGGCCATAATCTTGTAGAATCAACCAGGTATTGTCAGTACGGTAGTATAAATTCAGGGGCGGATCTAGGGGTAGTCAGATTAGTCACGCGACTAACGCAAAAAAAAGGCAGATATAAAAATTTGGACTAAGGTTTTTGATTTTTTTCCCAGCGCAAACACTTCTCTTCATTTCTGACCACGCAATCAAAACTCTATCACACTCCAGCACATAAACTTCGATCAGTTTTTGCACATTGAGCCAGCGATTGATTAGTCAAACGATAAGTCAAATAAGCGGTATTCAAATGAAAATTGACTGTTCTGCGTTTTAGTTCATGTGATTTGATTGGTCAAATTTGCTCAGATTACACATTACAGGCCTGTTGATTGGTCAGACCTATTTTGACTAACGATTGCGAAATTTTGACTATTTTGACTAATTCTGCAAATAGATAGCAGCTTCTGATTGGACAATTTGCGCAAAAGAGTTAAAGAACATCTCCTCTGATTGGCCTTCTAATCTTCAATTTGGAAGCATTGTGCACTTGGTAGCTTTGTTGCAGTTCTGTTCAATTTTACAAGCAAATTTAGTATTTCGTTTGTATTTATTTACTATTATCGAAATGAACGACGTAGATTTCGAAAAGGTTAGATCGTTATTTGAAAGTGACGATAAGGAATGCTTACTGGTGTTCTGTGGAGAATATTTCAAGCAGATAAATTCGATGGATGCAAGAAAATTGTCTTGGCCGAGACTTATCTAGCTGAGTCGCTGAGATGTGTTGATTTCTCGAATTCTCGTCGTCTATTTCAGGAGATTATAAAGAAGTGTATGGCAATAAGGTAAAGTGGTTTGAATTTTGAACAATAAATCATTGAATTGAACGTACGATTTGCATAATTGTGCGAGGTTAGGTCCAAAGTTTTATATACTCCCGGCGTACTTAATCGATAAAAACCGATAATCGGAAATCCAATCGATCAATCGATGGTAATCGATGTTAATTACTTAATTGATATCGATTGACATTGGTCAATCGATGACCAATCGATAGTCACAATAAGTTATAGCCAATTTTATCGATTATTATCGATATTCATCGATTTTCATCGATATTTATTGATTTTTATCGACAAAATACTTTCGATTTTGATCGATTTATATTCTAAATAATCGCCGCCAGCATGTCGGCGTGTTCGAGCTAAATAGTAAATCTGTTCTCATTTTTCGAATGTACACATGTATTTGATCTGTATTATAGCTATAGATGAAAAACTTAATTTAATCCATTGTTACTGAATTCCGTTCACATTTGAGTTTGTTACGACATTAAAGTACGTATTAATTAAATTACGGCGTTACCTGTTTGATTGCATGCATATTAACGGAGGATTTTTTCATCAATGAAAATTAATAATAAATCGATGATCAATCGATGAAAGTCACAGCAAAAGAAGCCATCGATTTTTCATCGATTTCCAATATCAATCGATTGATAAATATCGATTGGTATTGATTGATATCGATACTCATCGATTATCGATTTCATCGATTAAGTACGCCGGGATATACTGCATACATATTCATTATGTGTATAAAATTAAAACACCTCAAGGCTCAAGTGGCAGAAATTTGATCTCAAATATTTGATCATGTTGGATAAAAAATATTTATTGTGTACATGCTTTATAGAGTATTGATTGACTGATAATAGCTCTGCAAATGTACTTTATAAAGATAATAATAATATAATCTTTGGTTATATTTTTAGATCTAATATATGCAACTGGCAATTGCTTGTATAGCTCTGTTTCCTAAGCATTGACAGGTACCAATGACCTAATTTGACCTTGATAGTTTAAATATTTACAGTGCAAGTGTGAAAGGTCTATTTCGGCACTTATAGGACACTAAAAGGCTATAAGCAAACTATGGTTGAAGACTACTTAAATGAAATGACTTCGCTTGGTCATGATGCAAATTCACCAGGAAATTATTCCTAACATATGTACTGTAGGAAACGTTATTGATAAATTTTCTGGAACATGTGGTTAAAGTTAAATATCTCGGCTTGCAAAAAGACCACTCTCGCCTCCAATAGCAATTAATAACCTCACTCTTGTACACAACACTGACATGAGAAAAAACTTCCTGGGGTTTGGGTCTTCATCATCAACCAAACTTAGCCTTTCAAGATCACTACCTTCCCATAATCCACCCCCCCCCCCAAAAAAAAACATTCAGGCTTTGTAGACAAAAGCTGATGCCAAATATCGGGTCTGATCTCATTGGCTTGAGACAGGTCCATTGCATCTTGAACCAGTTAAATTTTTCAACAGACCAGGGCTTGAAATAACAACTGATCACCAATCATTAATAGGCAAGAAATTGCTTATGATCGGTGGAAAAGCAGGGTTTCCAACCTGAAAAAGCAGGGAAAGTCATGACTGCCGATCATCATGATCAGGAACTTTGGGAACATTATTTCAGGCCCTGACAGACAAACTCCATGTTGATAGTATGTCACTGTCTA